TGGGAAACTGTCTTTAGGGCAGGCACGATTGAGATCTGTAAAGTCGATGCAGAGGCGCCATTTGCCATTTGTCTTCTTGACGAGGACCACGTTGGCTAGCCAAACTGGGTAGTCTACTTCCCAGATGGCTTTTGCGTGAAAAAGCTTGCTGACCTCCTCATTAATGGCTTCTTGGCGTTCTGGAGTGAAACTCCTCCTCTTTTGCTTAATGGGTTTGCAGGTAGGATTCACGCTGAGCTTATGAGTGATGATGGAGGGATCAATTCCTTGCATGTCTTCTTGCTTCCAAGCAAAAAATTCCATGTTCCTTTTCAAGAACTAGATAAGGAGGTCTTTAATCTCTTTGCTTAGCTTAGATCCTACGTAGACGAGGTGCTCTGGCTCCTTGTCTAATTGAACAGGTTCCAGCTCTTCTGATGGTGTTGGTCTAGTTTCTAGTTCATCTCTCATGTCAAGTTCATCCAGCTGGATGTTCTCAATCTCCCTCTTCTTCACAGATGTCATGTAGCATTTTTGTGCCACACGCTGGTCTCCTCGGACCACTCCAACTTCGTTTTCTGTTGAAAATTCACCACGAGGTGATAAGTAGAAGGATAGCCCTCATAGAGTTGAGCGAAGGCCTCCCAAGGAGTATGTTGTACGCAGAAGGTGCATCGACCACCAAGAACCTTACGGTTGTTGTGGTATGGCAGGGGGGATCACCTAAGGTTAGGATGAGCTGGATTGATCCCAGGGGCAGCACCCTTTCTCCTAAATATTCCAACAAGTGAGCACTTACTGGCTCGAGTTTTTCCCTTCCTATATCCATCTTGTCGAAAGCGGAGGTGAAAATGATGTCTGTCGAACTGCCATTGTCAATCAAAATCCGATGAACAGTCCTGTTGGCTACCACAGCTCTTACCACCAATGGATCATCATGGGGATGTTGACAACCCTCCAGGTCTGAGTCTGAGAAAGTGATAGTTGTGTCTAGACGTGGAGCTTTAGACACAGCATACACTTCAGGAGCTTCTCCAGCTCTGATTCTTCGCAAGTGAGCCTTTTTGGCTGAGCTGGATTCTCCTCCTCCATCGAATCCTCCAGCTATCACTTTGATCTCCCCCATAGGCTGCTGATGTGGTTCCGGTGCTTGCTGCTGAGGTGGTGGAGGTGGGGAGAGCTCGATTTTGATTATGATTGGCCACAAAGCGACGTAACTGCCCCCGCTGGATTAGGAACTCTATTTCTTTCTTTAATTGTATGCAATCGTCGGTGTGATAGTCATGGTCTCTGTGGTAGTCACAATACTTTGTGGGGTCCCTCTTTGCTGGATCTGTCTTCATCCGGGGCGGCCATCTTAAAAACTTCCCATTCTGTACCTCATACAGGATTTGAGACACCATGGTAGTTAGAGGGGTGAATTGCCAAGGTGCATACCTCGGCTGTAGTTCTGGCTGTGGAGGGCCTAAGCGATTCCTAACATTTCCTCTTCTCTTCGGGGAGCAGTCTCTGTCTCTTCTTGGGATCTGTCTCGTTCTCTTTCTTTTCTAGGACTTCGATCCCTCTTCTTTTCCTTTCTCCTTTCGTGATGAAAAGCCCCCCACCTTAGAGAGGAGCGCTTCCTCACCATTTATATATTTTTCTGCTTTGGCCAGTACCTCTGCCATACTTGCCTGAGAATTCTTCGAGATAGAGAACATCAGGTCCTTTGATTGCACTCCAAGTCCTGCGATGAAAGTAGTGATGGCAAACTTCTCGTCTGGGACGTCTACCTTCAGAGATTCTGAGTTGAACCTCTGGACATAAGATCGAAGGTTCTCGTCAGGTCCTTGCTTCACATTCAACAAATGGTAGCTTGGCTTCCTATAGATCTGAGCTCCGATGAAATGGGATACGAAGGAGATAGAGAGCTCTTTAAAGGAGGAAATCGAGGCTGAGGGGAACCTATTGAACCACGTTGTGGCTGAGCCCTTCAAAGTGATGGCAAAGGCCCTACATCGCACTGGATCTTGGTATCCATGCAACTCCATCTGGTTTTTATAAGTGTTAATGTGGTCTACTGGATCTTTTGTCCCATCAAAAGCTTCTATCTGAGGCATTCTGAATTTAGGAGGGAGGAAAAATTGCAACACCCCAACAGTGAATGGGGATTCGATTTTTTGCACCAATGTATCCATTGTTACTGGAGTCTTACCTTTCACTGCTTCCTTCATGAGGCTGAGCTCTTGCTGGATGTCCTTAAAGGGTTGCTCCTAATATTGTTCCATCATTTCGTGTTGGAAAGGGAGAAAATCATTTTTCTCGATCCCATTATCTTGACTCCGTGCCTCTTCATTGTCATCAACCCTGGGGGGGGGATGAGAAGCCTGACTATTTTCACCTCCTTCTTCTGCTTCTCTGAGAGGGTTGAGGTGTTGCTGCCCCCTGCGAGGGGGATCATTCTAGCCTTGCTAAGCCAGTTGTGCTTGCTGAGGACCTTGTAAAAGCTTCAGGAGGTCTTCATTCTGTCGAAGTAAGCATTGGTTGACCTGACGGAGGGCGTCCAGTTCATTGTTTGTTGGAGGATCTGCTACAGGGGGATTATCCTCGGTCGTAGGCATGAAGTCATGAAGATTTTCTTGCTAATTCTGCACCCTTGGGAGATTCGTTTGGCTTCTGCTCATATTACGCGTGAAAATCATCAATTACTGAAAGATCAGTGTACTTGTAACAGGAACAGTCGTTCCCACAGACGGCGCCAAACTGATGGCGTATGACCACGTTAATGAGCAAAAAGTGCAGGTGACGTGTGATGAGCATGAATCAGAGCTATAAGGCTAGTGTGTGATACTACTGCGAAATACTGAGGGAATTAAATAGGTGCACACAACGAAAATATAGTGGTTCACCGACTCAGGAGCTCGGCTTGTCCACTCTTCAACGGAGGCTCTTCCTCTTGTTGTCTTATTCACTGCACAAATGCATTACAATCCGGCATATCTCGAAATTAGGGTTTTTTTCTTCATCCTGCCTCTCTATGGAGGCGCTACATAGTATTTATACGACTATTCCCTGTTTTGTAAGATCTCAGCCGAGATCTTTGCCTGTCATTAGTAGGATTCTCCTTGATTTTAAGAGAGAATCTTAGTTGATTGAGAGTTTCATGTTTTGAACCCAATTTTCGCAGTTTATTCAGTTGTTCCATGGTCAGTTCTCCTACCATCTCCCCAAGGGGAGCTTTAGCTCTGAACTTTTGAACTTCTCGTATCCTACCTGACCTCCTAACTTGACCTCGTTTCTTGAGCTCACTCTTATAACTTATTTGAGGTACCATCAAGACCCAAACTACAAAACCCTCCAATGGTGATAGCGCGAGAGGGGACTGGGGTTTTCACATTCTGATGTTGGACTTGGACCAGAGGGTTTTTGGTGCACTTGGTAGTGGTATTGTTATTTTTGATAAATAATAGTTTGACCTTTCAACTTTGATTTTTTTTACATTATGTCCTTTACTATCATATATTTCACATTACACTTTTAATTATGTGATTAGTTTCACATTAACTCAATAATTAATGTCTGTTATAAATTTTTACACTAAGTTTTTTTTTTCTTCCAAACTATGTGATTTTTTTTAACTTTGTATCAACATGTTAATAATTTTCGTCCAGAAAATAAAAGATTTATTTTTGGGCCAAACTAATGAATTTTTGGTCTAATAGTACTCCTTATCTTATGAAAATTTTGTTTTATTGAGGTCAGGGTTCAAATCTTCCTTCCCCTTCCCCAAAAAAAAATTTACTTTTGGGACAATGTAAAATAATTCAAGTAATTACGGGTGTAATGTAAAAGACTTAGTAGTTTAAGGGATAAAGTGAAATTGAATTGATAGTTTAGGGTTAAAGTGTAATTTATCATTCTATTTTTGTTTCCATTTTCTTTTATCTTTATTTCCCATTTTATTGTGTAAAGTTTTGCAACTCTCTTTGAAAATGGAAAGGAAAAATAGAAAATTGGTAAATGATTGTGACTCCAAAATGGGCTGAATTTAGTAATTTGTACTGAGGACTTGCCAATCGAATAAGCCGTACAAACTTCAAATTCTCGTGTATTATTGATTTAAAATAATATGACTATATTTATTACGTTACGATTCTCATTTTGCAATGGTAACTTGAATTTGATAGACATTTAGACTAACAAAGCGATTTCCATTGATTTTGATATCATGCGCCCAAATTTTGCCATGATTTGAATGAATTCAATTTGTATCGTACCCTTATTTTCTCACTTAATGGTTATGCCCAAATTTGAATGATTCAAGTGAAATTCAATTTGTATTCTACATGTTTTGGCCAAATTTGAGAGATCTTGTCCCAAATTTCATTATGAATGTTCCATCCCCCCCCCCCCCCCCCTTTTTTTTTTCTCTCTTTCTCTCCTGTTTGGTTTTCGCTTCCATCCAAAAATAGTGTCAATTTCCTGCTCGGGTCATGGCGTGTTGAGTTGAACAGGCACTCAACTCAATAAACCATGACCCGATCAGAAAACCCCGAAACAAGAACCCCTTCGCAGGTAGTGAAGTTTCCAGCAAGCAAAATTCAATAACACCATGCAAATCCTCAAAAACTCCATGACCAGGAAGCAGCACCGAAATAGAACACTAACTCTACCTAGCAACCAAAATTGGTATTAGCAATAGGCTTCAGCCATTACCATAACAAGAAGAAAAGCTTCTACTGCTGTCTGGACATAACTGAACAGACCTTTCTGTAGCTTAAAGGATCCAACTGCAAGGGCAATATCACGAAGCTCAGTCAAAAACATGCATCAAGTTTTGCTTCCAAATCAAGCAAGTGACCTTAGTTAAAAATACAGGGCCAACCGATCCAACTTTCATGCATCAAGATAGGTTTTAGAAGTAGATGAAAGTCACAAAAGATTCTTGTTTTTGAAAATCTGCACTTTTCAAAATCCAGAAATCAGACGAGATTCTAGGATTCGATTCGCAAAGACTTACTTGCATACCTATTCTGGTTGATCCACACCATTCTTCGAATCCTTCCCGTTTTCCTTCAATTCATCAGCACAAAAGCAACACCAGCTGTGATTCCAAACTAGAATTGAAGCTGCAACAAAGAGATACAATATCTTCTCTTGTTTGTTCTTCAATATTAAGTAGAGAGGTAATTAGACGAAAATTGATAAACCCGCATGCTCAATTTTCTGCAAGCTTTACACAGACAATTCAGAGCTCCCTGCGGATGACCTCAGTAAAGCTATATATATATATGTGCATATATGTAACCATATATATAACCGTTCCTTCCCCAATATAACCCGCTCAAAGGTGGAAACTACTCCTAAAAATAAGTCAATTTCAACAACTTATGGCCCAGTGAAGGAGAATGCCCTAATTAAAACAGTATAAACTCCCCAATAAAGCTACTCAATGGTAGAAGCCACCACCAAAAATCAGTCAATTTGAGCATTTTATGGCCTCTGAAGGAGAGAGACATCGAAATAATACAACAGTGATAATGACTTATCCAACATAATGCCCATAACTTATCAACTCAAGGATCTACAACTCCCATGATAAAGCAATTGGCCATTCGCAGGATTCAGAGTTACATTGCTGAAAGGACTTTTTGATTTGCTCTCCTTCCAAGTTCAACGACCTCACTGTTTGAATGCACGAAGTTACCAAATGATTACTGCCACCATTTTTTCTCTGATAAAGATATTAGCTGCACATAAGAACAACCCAAAAGATTTCAAGTAAGACACAAAGAAAATGTTAACATGTTGTTACAACTTAGTCACATATTTAGTAAACACTGAATACCAAAAAATGATCGTAAAAATAAGCAATCTCATTTGTATACAGGAAGGATATGTACATAATGAATACAAACAAACAAATAAAAAAGAAGACAACAAAGATAACATGTGGCACTGTTTATACTACACGAAAATCCCAAACTCTACAAAAATCTACAATGTGGACTCTGAAAGTTAAAAGTGAATGAAAGCAAGAAAAAGTCAGAATTCACAATGAGAGCCTTGGGATACTTTTGTCAATCTTTGCATATTCCTGAAAATCCTTTTTATTTCTTCCCCTCCATATAGCATATGCTATCATAAGATCGCCAACGTCCCACATTGATCCCTCAAAGCACAAGAATTATCTAAATTCACGACATTTGATTGAGACATAAGTAGAGTAATAATGGAAAGCCAGATTATGCATCCATTAAAATCAGAAAACATATTTAGTCTTACTTGCCAAAAATGGAAATAATGTCCAGTTAACAAATAGACTAGAAAAACTAGCTGGGCTGGCATTAATACTAACCATTACCAGCACAACTTGCAATGCTACCAACCAGACCGGACCTCACAATTATCAAAAGTTGTAGAGGCATTAATCAGAGCAATATCAGTGATGCATATTTACATAGACACGTTCTTAATTGTATTGCAGACGAACTACAAAAATACTTTCAAAGAAAAAAAGGTTTTGACTGAAAAATAATGCCTTTCACCCGAATTGATCGAAACGTCAATGACACAATATACTTTAACGGAAGCCAAGCGCTATATTTTATATTTGTAAGACCTTCAACCCACTTGCAGATGTAGAGGTACCACATGTCAACCACCAACAGATTTCGAATCTAATGTGAAGTGTCTCACTTACCAGTTACCATTAAAAATAGGAAGTGATCTCAGTGGGTATAAGTTTGACCCCTAGATCCAATGGTTTAAAATGTTACAATCAATCTGATCAAATTCTAATCCCATCTGAATGAAGGGCAGGATTATGGGCTGCACCAAAAAAGAGCCTAACTTTGATCACACCTGACCCCTTGTTCCCAAGTGTATCAAAAAATTTTGGGCTAATCTCACTTTGTATCCCAAAAGATATTTCGATTCTCAATTTGAACCCTCAAACAATAAAAATCTTAATTTGCACCCTCAACTTTGTGAATTGATAGCATGTGGACTTGACCTACACTGCCATTCAGTTTTTCATTATAAATTGAAACACCATGAGATGCAAGTGCTTCGGGCACGAGAATGACAAATGTCTATCACTGCAAACCCTCAATGTTACAAAATTTTTCCAGTTGTTGATACAAATGAATGTTTCCGAGAGGTTTCGATTTTTGATTGAAAAAAAACATAGTCTCGAGATGAAAATTTTGAACCGTGAGACACAAGTGCATAGACATACACAAAAGACATATTACCAACCTGACGAGCAACCTGCGCCAATCGCCGACTGTCCCTTGATGATTCTGTTATCAAGCTCGACTTTTGTGGCTCCATTGAACCAGGTTGTTTCTCCTCTGTCCTCTTCAAAGTGCTATTTTCAACAGAGGCATTCCCATCAGAGCCACTAAAAGACACTTTTTTCCGCTTTCTTTGGAATGTGTACTTGATAATCCTATCATTCAAAGGTTGATTATGAATTGTATGGGTTGTATCAGAAGCTTTTGATCCATTTGAATTTATTAATGGCACATCATCTTTATCAAGATTCATTCTACCAACTGGAACTTCTGAAATCTCTGTAGATCCAACTTCCTGTCTCATTGGCAATTTATCTGTCAATATATCATCCTTGTTTATTGTGCTTTGAACACCACAAGCTTTAACACAATCTCCACCACATACATCAGTTTTGGCAAATCCCAGCCGCGTGCTCATTTGAGTTGAATCTGAGGTTAATTGTGGGGCCATCTGAGAGGGTCGTTCAATGGACTGAGCATTGTTAATAACCAAATTTGGATGAGTTCTCAAACAAGTTATAGCAGGTGTTTGGTCCGTCTTAATAGCTTGTTCAGGAAGAAACCACCAGGAGGGCGTTCTGTTTTTCTTATATCTGGTAGTTCTCTTCCTTTTTCTACGAAAACACTTACCAGCCTGAACTTGGTACCAGCTGACAAATCTGGAATCTGTCAGTACCCCTCCTTTCTTCTCTGTAGTACACATATTGTCAGCCACATAAGTGGGTGTTGTACAGATCCTCTTACCTTCTTCATATTCACTTACACTTAATTCCCCATTCAACAAGTTCCTCTCATATGCACGAATTCTCTGGGTGCAGCCATTTCTGTACAGCTCAGGCTCTTTGCTTCTTAATACTAAGGAGGGAATATCATGACTGACCTCATTTCCAGGACTCAAATTCAAATTTCTCAGGTCAGAAACTAGGACAGATTCACGGGGTGATTCCGAATGAGGCAATATGACAGACTGAGAAGTATAGAGTGTGTGATCCTCCGATGTTTCCTCTGTAGTAGCCGTATCATGTTCATCCACATGTATTTTGTTGTTTGACTCCCTCTCCAATTCAGCCTGCACTTGTCTTAACTCTTCTCTGAGGTCTCTGACGATGTCCTCAGCTTCCTGAAGTTGTGCTTCAAGTTCTTCTATCTTTTTCTGCTGACTCGAAGATGCAATCTCTGCTTCACAAATCTGTAAACATTTCTATCAGTGCCATCGTTTAGAGAACTTGTAAAGGAAGTAACCATAAAATGGCAAAGACGCAAGGAAAATTGAGATGAACCTGGCTCCATCGTTTTTTTTTTAAATTTACAAAGGTATTTTAATGTGTGTAAGAAACATCAATGTTCACAAGTGTTAGGTTACCTCCGGGTAACTCCAAAAGCATAAGCTGATAGAGTATATAACCAACAATGCATAACAAGCTCAAAACCTCCCCCCGCCCTCCTCTTTAATGTGTTGATTCCTTTTGCTTGAGAGACAAAAACATAAACCCACTGCAGATCATACAACTAACACACGGACTGACTGAACACAGGAACAGATAGATTTGTGGAGACTTGAATGCAAGGCCTTAAAAAATAAAAACAAAAGCTTCGGCACCATGTTAGATTACAAGTTCCTTCAAATTCTTAAATTGATGAAGGCAATTGTGTTTATCAAGTTCCCAACAAAATGGTTCATGAGACAAATTTGAAACTTATGCTTAGCTGGTTAACTACTAGAAAATGGCTGTTGTAGCAGGAAATTAGCTTTCTAACCATTAGCTAGTGCCTACACTTCCACAATCTCATCCCCTGGTCTAGAGCTTGTAAAAGTGCAACATTTCATCATAGTGTATACTTCCACAATCCACTTCCAGGGCAATCAAACCTCTCAACCAAAATGATTTTTGTTTTTTGGCCCACATACAGCTGAAATGCAAATGTTTAAAACGCAAATGTAAGTAGAAAATATTAATCAGTCTTAACCTGAAGTATAGCCAACAAGCTCAGTTATTGCTGAAAACTTATTTTTCCTGCCAATATGGTTTCTAATTTTGACATGGGAAGGAAAAGATGATAGCTTGTCATTATTTTGACCAATGTCTGCCTAGTCCCTCCTGACTAAGTTTGCAATCAAAGACTAAACCATGCTACTTTATATCAAGAAACTCTCAAATTTGTTGGATTAGCCATCATATTCGTTGGGAAAAAAGCAAGCAAGAACTAGTTTGCCTTGGGTCATAGTGAATGACACTAGAAAAGTGGACAAATAGGTGGGAACACAATGAACAACCCAATGAAAAGGTAGGTGCTCAATGGAACTTACAAAGAGATAAAGAGCGAAACTCACCACCAATTTGAATCAACCAATAGGATAAGACTTTAACAATACGAAATCATTCTTCTCAATAAGACCAAGGCTGTTTCTTTGCAAAATAACACTCTCCAGTCTCTACTAACTCATATATGATTAGAGAATATTACAGGATGTGTCTCGGAAAATCCCTCAGAACAAAGGTAGTAGTAACTTACATTTGCAGGACCACCAATTAATGAAAAACAAAGACTTCTGACCAAATACAACAAACAAGATTTAAAAGTACCTTTTTTGAGAATGAAACAATTTGACAAGAAACAAGAAATGTCGAAGTTTAAGCATTGGACACAAAGTTGATGATCTATATTTTGCTAAGCCCTCGACATGTTTGGACACTCCTGTGTCAAATTCCATAGTTTGGAAAAAAACTCATCCTCAAGGTAGGCTTCGTTACTTTAGTTGTTGCTTGAATTTAGGTTTCCCAACAACCCAAAGTTTAGGTTCGCTTGGTGGCAGGAGAGGAAACAGGGAAGGAAGAGACACAGAGTCGGCCATGGCTCGTAAGACTCGTGGGGACTTTTGAAGTAAATTTTAAGCAATTCACTTAGTTTCTAAATTATAGGATTAACCTCAATTTTTTAACAAACTATGATGGGGGCAAGGTTTAAAAAAAAAAAAAACTTTATTTTTTCAAAATTTTAACTAAGCCCCAATTTTTTTTGAAATTGCAGTGGGGGCTTCTAATCCGCCCCTGCTATCCTCGATGCAGATTTCTTATTCTCAGTCCTCTTCCCTCTCTCCACTCTATCCGAAAACTATCAATCACAAAATCACAACAACACCAACACCCACCACCGGTCTAAAAACCACATACATTCTTAAGAATGTAAAATATTCATCTCAACCATGCATCGGAAACCAGCACTCCTCGGATACTCTTTGACAAACGTCCAATACTCCTTTATTAATTCCCATTGTTATAAGACAAAGTTCTAATTTGGAACATGCATCCAACACTACTTGGTGGAGTGCTTGATGCTTTTTTAGGCCATAGGCCATATTTACTACGAAAATATACATGCCTAAGCATATAATTCACAAAATCGAAAAATTAGGCAAAACAACTATTTATACTATGAAAGAACCTATAGTTGTTGAAACTAATCACACTAAAGTTGTACTGTGCACTAATAAAAGCAAAAGATGCATAGAAAGTTTTGTTAAAAAGGAGGAATTGAGAAGATAAGAACAATCATTATAATTATGTATTTTGTACACATTGCTTGAAAACATTGTTGAGTATTGACTACTATGATCGTTGAGTCTAAAAATTCACACTAGTTGACTAGACATAAGATGTATTTGTCATAAAGTATTGAATTACTTATGAACAACACTATAATTATTTGTTTACTTGTCATAATATAATTTAATATAAAAAACATAACTATTTGTAACATGCCCCCGACATCTCAGTGTACTACTTTTTTTAGAACTGTAGTGTCAAATAAATATATTACACCTTTTCTATTAGTTTAAACAGTCAGCTGAGATGGTGATTAACAAATGAGCCTCCTTAAGGACAACTTAATAATAAGAGAAGCTCCAATGTTTCTTACTCAATCATCTATCTATTCTTTGAAAAACATTGAGAAATCCAAAGGAGATTGCTTAATAAATATTCAAAGACACTCCCTAGATCCAACAATGGTGAGAGCCTCGTGCACTTGGCAGCCTTGTTTTAGTTGTCGCTCTATTAGGACACTAAAATGAAAGTAATGAGATAAAAGTGAAAACTATCATTCAACGAGCAAAACTGGGGAGCTTAAATAGATGAGATCAACCAAAGAAACTAAAGGATCTCCTAGCAAAAACTCCTAACGAAGATCAATTTTATCAAATTTAACATAGTTCACAATGTTAAATTTATAATTTACCTATAGTATCATAAGTTTATCATTCCTTTTTTTTCCTCTCCGACTAAACAAGAAAGCAATTTCGGTAGGTCATTTGTCTCTCATGCCCTCCTTTTCGGAGGAACATTGCAATTTTATGATGCAATTGGAAATAGAAAGTAAGAACAATACAATAAGTGTGAAGCAGAGTAATTGGATAGAAAGATATAACTCATGAATTCATTACCACTATTAATCCATTTAAAATGTTTTTTAAACTCCAATGAAACGCAAGCCACTTTAGATTTCATACTATGTGCAGCATTGAATGCTAAAAGATACATAGCCAAAAATGATTGGTGACAATGAAATATTTGTCCATATATAAGATGAGATACTTTTAAAGTGGATTTCATGACTATAGCAACAAGGGAATGAAGAAAAAGAAATATGACAAAATAAACTTCGATATCACTTTGCACTTTTGATAGCATTAAAAGTTGATTGTCGCCGATCCTAAGGTAAGTTTGTAATTTGCATTTGAAAGACAAAAAAAAAACTTTTGACTCTGAGAAGCAAGATAAGATATTCAAATACCTTCACAGATGAATCCACTCAGTTCTCCACAAAAAAGACAACTACAACATCATGATCATGAATTAACGAATTTCTCATTGTTGTTCTTCATGATTGGTCGCATGTTAAAGTTACCACACACCATTACATCAAAAAGATAGACGACAAATTCTCACAAAACATTTCCGATAAAGAAAGTAGGTAATATTTCAATGGCCCAACAAACTGTATAGCAGTAAGTAATGGCAGGAGGCAGAGCCAGAAGTTTGAAATTGGCGTGGCAAATTAAGAACCGAGAAAAGATACAAAATTCGATTTGGTGGGCCATTTTGAAAATATTGGGAGGCTGAGTGTTACCTTAATAGTTTTTGGGCAATTACATCGAATTTAATGGGCCCAAGAGGCAATTTTTGTAATCTTCACAGCCATGGCCTCCAACTTGTAATCTGCCACTGACTAACGGCCTAAGTTTCTATTTTTATGGTGAGGATGTAACCGCCAACACAACCGGCCAGTGTATTGGACGTAGCCATATTTTGAATGCTTCATGTCATAAAACTTGAGAATTTTTACTTGATCGGTGAGGAAACTTGGGAAATTCAAACAAGCTTCCCTATTTCCCAATAATGGTGCAAATTTAAGAAAACCCATCACATAGAAAAGAACTGTTATCTAAGAAACAAATAGATAGTTCTGAGAAAATACATCGAGTCACACAAAAAAGAAAGCATGAGCATTATATTATATAAAGATCACTTCAAGAGGAAAAAAAAATGACACTAAACACAATCAGAGCAAACTTTTCTCACCAAAGTGAATGCCGAAAAAAGAACCCCTAGGTGACTTAAACAACAAATAAACATACAAACCTACAAACCTACAAACCAAATTCATCTACGCAGGAAAATCATTATCACAAACATCAACTAAATCACAAAACAGCAGCTACATCAAAAACCACGTTAAGCAAACAGCCAAAAACTAATCCAATTTAACAACCCAGCAACAAAAACACATACATTGACACAAATAACAAAAAAATTCGAAATCGAAACAACATCAAAACCCACTTGCGAAAGAACGAACTCACCTTAGAATCCATCATCCGTTTGAGTCTCTGTAGCATCTGAAGAGCATCTTCTTTTGCCACATACAGCTCGTGCTGAAAACGAAGAGCTCTTCTCTCCGACACCATGATCCTCGCTGCCGCCTCTTTCGCGGTGTTCAAAATTATATCGGCATAAGCCTTCTTCAAGGCCGTTAATCTCTGCTCAAAAAAATCACAAACCCATCAAAAATCTTTAGGAAAAAAAACTCATAACACCAATGGAGTAAAGAAAAAGAAGATCAAAATCGATCACCATTTAAAAAAAAAAAAAAACCAAATAAAAAAACCGTTAAAACAGTAGTTGAGTGGTTGTTAGCGGTGGCGCCGCCGTGGGCGGTGCATGTGGGTAGTCAGATTGCGGTAATGACTGTTGGATTGTTACCTCGTCGGCGTCCATTTTGTTTCCTTAAAAGCATCCAACTGTTGTCTTTGTGGTCCGATCGAAGAGTAGAGAGAGAAAGAGAGGGATGAGAGGGAAAGGGAGGTTTTTCTCTTCCCTTTTGTAAGCAGCTGTCTGTTATGAACTGAAAGTCTTTTGATCTTCTTACTAAATTGCCCTGGATTTTCGAATCTTATTACGATATTGCCATCGTTGGGTCCAAACCTATTAGAGGACTAGTTATAGCATTAGATTAAAACTCGAAAAATACTACATTAACTAATAACTTACAATTAGATATAATGTTATCATAATTTATTATACCATCACAATAATTAATACATATTCAATCATCAAAATATATCCAACCACCAAAACATCAAGTTAATCCCTACTAATTTCAAGAAATTTCTGTAAAATTTCTTTTAAAAATAGATCTCCAGAAAAATGTAAACCTGTCTACAAAACTTACAATCATCATAATACATTATATCACCACAATCATCACTACATACCCAAACTACCAAAACAACCATCATTCCATACCCAAAATCATCATAACTATATATAATTAGTTAACTTTACAAAAGACGGAACACAAAAAATACACACATGCACAAAATAGATAAACAACTTCATATTCTTTACAACTTAGACCAAGTATCCTTCAATGTATACCTGAAAATATTTGAAATATAAAAATTATCGAAATATGTGAGTCAAAATAAAACAATTATAAATTCGAAATATAAAACCCCTTACTTTTTTCGTTAGTTGGATTCAATATAATTAATTACATTACCTTGAATTATCTAAAAAATAAATGAGCACACACATTTGTATGTAGTGGGAGGGGGGAAATGATTTAGATTGATATAAGTAAGAATTTAGAGAGTTTGTAACAAATTATCAATTTATTTAAGAAAAGATATAGAAGAATGTAGAGACTTACAATCAAATAAGATTTTCTTAGTATCATTTCAACAAACGTTTCATTTGCTTAATGATTTCAATCATAAATCTGTATTTGTGACAATATAATGGTGTGTGAGTTTAATTTGCGAATGTTTGATTGGTTACAGTTATGTGTGTGTGTTTGTGCATGTATTGTGTGTTGTGTGTCTACATGAGAAATAGATAAATATAGAGAGTCTTAGTAAGAGAGACTTTCATACCTAAACAATTGTTTGGTCAGTGGTGGGTTAGTTATCGTCAAAGGTGGACAAGTCGGTAATGGATTGCATATCATTTAACTCTCTTAAATGTCTTATTCATCCCTTTAAAACCTTCTCTTCATCACTATCCTTAATGTCCTCGTATCAATACGAACGCACTTTTTTAAAACCCGAAAAAAAAATTTATTATTATTATTAAAAATTCTAATAAAAGGGGTAAAATAATAATTAATTGTTAAATTATGGGTCAAAAACATAAATTTCAAAAAAAAAATAATAATAAATATATATATATAAGTGGAAGACTTTCTCTTCCATTTTTTATTTTCTTCTCCAGCCGGCGAGACAGAGTGAGTGAGAAAAAAAAATGAGTTTTTTATTTTTTTTCTCTTTTCTTCCTTCTCAGATCTTCGAAAATTTAACCGTTTAATCGCTTCGGGCCAAAAACTAAAGTTGCTCTACTCAGCGAGAGCTACGCAACCACACCAAATATCGTATTTTTCTCCGAAGGAATATCAAAGCCGACAATCTAGGCCTAAAACTTAGGAAGCTAAATTTGGACTTCCTTGGCGTTCTAGTAAGTGGTCTCACGCTACGAGAGATAGGGTTTCCCCTATTTAGATTTAATTTCAACTTAAAATATGACATATGGAATGAGTAGATTATGAGTGTATATCATATGTTAGGTCTTGACTAATGTGACTAGTGGGTCAAATATAGAATTTATAATTAATCTTGTGATTAATAAAATTCTATTGTGATTAACTTGGTGTAAGTTAATGTTAGTAGTTTAAAGCATGTTAATTGTATGTTAGCATTACTTTATATTTTAATGGCAGATCAAGTTTAATAAAATTATTAACTTGTTATATGATTGTGAAATAATATATATATGTTAAATAATTATTTAACATATGATTATTTTGGTAGACTTGTGCTTATGTTAAACATGTTGTCATGTTGCAAGTCATAGCATGCTAGTTGTGTAAATTGATGTGCTCTTTAGGTGTTTGATTAAATGCCTAGGTGAATACAAGTATGTTAGTTGAGTTAATTATCTTACATAACATGCTTGAGATCGTGTTAAAATGTCATTATATTGTATTCATTATGTAATAGACATTGTATTTCATTATGCATGGGTTGTACTACATTCATGAGCATTGACATGGGTGAGAGTGTATGCATGGTATGAAATCAATCACCACGTAGGTGGTTGAACGTGGACTCGGAAAAGTTGCACCAAGGTTCGGTTGAGTCGCACTGGGTGAGAGTGTATGCATGGTATGAAATCAATCACCACATAGGTAGTTGAACGTGGACTCGAAAAAGTTGCACCAAGGTTCAGTTGAGTCGCACTGGAAATTAAATGGAAAAATGTGTTGGGGACAGCAAGAAGGGCTAGATTCTCCCTCAGGTGCAAGACCCGCTTACTTGGTTTATACACTTTTCGGCGGTGAAATTCTAGAAAAATGTAACGGCGAAAACGGAGCCGCAGGTGGGATGTCCTGAAGACCCGTTGATGGTTGGTGTCCCATTGATGTAATACCATAAATCACCTCCCTACAAAGACACAAGAAAATAAATTAATTAGTCATTGAGTGTACATAACACCAATGATGGGGGCTTGGAATGCTCGGATACATACGCATGACATTGCATGTGTTATGGGAGCTCAGGATGGGGCTCGGGGTTGGTATTGCTTGCGTGACTCTCATCTCATGACATGACATGATTTATAATATTCAATCATAATAGACATATTTGAATGAATGTATCAAATGATTGTTACATGTGACATTTCATATGCATTTAGGTTGAGAGGTATTCTCTATAGGAGTTACTCTATTGAGCGTTGGCTCACCCTTTATGGGAACATTTTTCAAGTATCGCACAGGCGTCCACCGAAGGCGAGGTCATGGGCCCGCTTTGACGACAGAGCCGGTCTGTGGCTTTTATTTTGACATTGTAGTCCCTTGTTTATACTTACTTTTGGCCTTATATAATTTTTGTAACAAACATTTGACATGTATATGAGACTCTTTTGGGACATTTATTCTTTTACAAATAAATGTATGTACTGATAATGATTATGGTAGTATTCGAGACTATACAATTGTGAATGGATAGATAGACCCGGTGTGGTCAATATTGTACAGGTTGCATTTTGAGTAGAGCTCCTCGTACAAAGGAGACTCTGCCCAAATTTTGTTAAGTTATGGATCCCGAGAAATGGGGCATAACGGTGTGGTATCAAATTACACGATATCTACCAGTATTACACGGGTCGATGGATAATCAATCGGATAATTACAGACACCCGGATTATGGGGTGTCACAGCTTGGTATCAAAGCCTAGGTTCACGATTTACCTAGGGCTTACAGGGCATGGGTTTAAGTCATTGCATCCAGTTTGCATTGCATGTTAAATGTATTAAATCTCTTCATGCTATGTGTTATGAGATTATATGCATGATTAAATGTATATAGGAATGAGGTACTATAGTTAGAAACCGTAACGTTAGAGTTGGGAAGGAAAAGGATGTGTAAGCCTATTGTTTGCATATTTGTCGATAGGTATATATTTTACTGTTTTAACTTTGATCCCTAACTTTGGGATACTAAGTTATTGGTCTATTGCTATCTTATGTGTGTGTAGATGGCAACAAGAGGAAGGGGACGTCGGGGTGGACGAAACAACCAACCACCACCACCGGCTTTTGATCAACAAGCCTTTATAGAGGCCATGGGTGCGATGACCGCCACCTTTTTGCAAGCTAGTTCTAATGTGGGCCAAGGAGGCTCAAACAACCTGCAGAAGTTTAGGTCCCACAACCCACCAATTTTTGTAGGAGGAGGGGATCCGATGGTAGCTGATAATTGGTTCCAACAGGTGGACAAAATTTTGGAAGCAATGGAGATTGCATCTGATGCCACGAAGATACGATTGACCACTTTCCAGTTTGAGGGAGACACCCATCAATGGTGGAAATGGGCAAAACCGATAGACATCGAAAGGATGACATGGGGAGAGTTTCAAGAACTCTTCATGAAGAAATATTTTTCACCAGCTGTTCGGGAAGTCAAAGCCCATGAATTTCTAAACTTGAAGCAAGGAGCGATGACGGTTATGCAGTACGTGGCCAAGTTCACAGAATTGGCACGTTTTGCGGATGACTACGTGGCCACTGATTTGGCCAAGGTGCGGAGGTTTGAAAATGGCCTAAAGTTATCCATCCGCGGGAAGATTGTTGGCCACAGGTTGCACGACTTTGATGAGATGGTCGAGACAGCCATGGCTATAGAGAGAGAGGTGGAAGATGCCAAGAGGATTCGGGAGGCTGGATCAAAGGACAGGAAGAAAGAGGGACAGTCCTCCACTACTAGCTCGGGGAAGAGACAGAGGATTTCTACCCTACAGGGATCACAGGGACAGGGTCGAGGCTATCAAGGTCAAGGCCAAGGCCATGGTCAATCTTCCCAAGGCGGGAAGAATTCCAAGGGTACATAACAGGGAGGCCCACGGATATGCTACTATTGCCACTAGTCAGGCCACTTGAAGAGAGAGTGTCCTCAAAGGCAAGGATGACAGAGCTATGGGGCATCTCAGTCCTAATCATCAGTGGGGCATCCACAGACCTACTTCATTCCTCCCTACCCCACCAGGGGACAGGGAAATCAGTTACAATTTCAGGGTACGGCACAGGCCCCTACCACTTCACGAGCAAGGACTTCGCAGTCAGGCCAGGGCATGGGCCGAGGCCGGGACTTCAGGGACCCAGGGGCGAATCTTCGCCATCACACCACAGACTTTACCGGCAGATCAGTCGGTAATTCAGGGTA